AGATCTGAGCTAACATACAGAGCTCTTACAATTCTTCTGAATTAGCTAACAAGCACTGACATGTTTTAGGTGGATGAGGATTATTTTCCAACAATCTCTGTACCAAGTTAGAAAAAAATAATTCAAGCCCAGATCAAGCTGTCTCACATACAGATTTCAATAAATATTTTTATTTTTTGTTGAGACACGGTCCCACTCTCCTGCCAGGCTATAGTGTAGTGGCATGATCATAGCTCACTGCAGCCTTGAACTCCTGGGCTCAAGCAATCCTCCCGCTTCAGCTTCTGGAGTAGCTGGGACTACATGCATACTCCAAACCTGGCTAAAAAAAAAAAAAATTTAGAGATGAGGTCTTGCTATATTGGCCAGACTGGTCTCAAAACTCCTGGGCTAAAACCCAATGTGCTGGGACTACAGGTGAAAGCCACCACACCTAGCTCAATGACCATTTTTTAGCAAGCAAACAAAAAAGTTTATGTAACCGGCTAGGCGTGGCGGCTCACACCTGTAATCCCAGGCACTTTGGGAGGCTGCAGTGGGAGGATCACAAAGTCAAAAGATCAAGACCATCCTGGCCAACATGGTGAAACCCCGACACTACTAAAAATACAAAAATTAGCTGGATGTGGTGGCAGGCACCTGTAGTCCCAGCTACTCGGGAGGCTGAGGCAGGAGAATTGCTTGAATCTGGGAGGCGGAGGTTGCAGTGAGCTGAGATCGCACCACTGCACTCCAGCCTGGCAACAGACTGGGACTTCATCTCAAAAAGAAAAAAAAAAAAGAAAGAAAAAAGTTTATGTAACCTGTATTAAAGGTCCACTTAAGGCAGGCTTGACAATATTCCAGAAATAGTACTCTCCTAACCTAGTTAGCCAAGGCAACCAGAAATCCTTGGACAAAATGGCAGGAAGCAAGACCATTTTGGGATCAAGTGTCAGGCACCATGCCTAAGGGTAAAGGCCACAGGCTTCACTAGATTGTTACTTCCTTTTCACTTAAATATGAGGAATTACTCTGAAATAATTTAGTAAGTTCACACATCCTGAATACCTCTAGTTTTGCCACTGAAAGCCACTACTAGTATCTATTATAATGAGCAACAAGCTATGAATTTCAAAAATATACTTCACACATTTACTCTGCTGATTATCAAAACCTCTGGATGTGACTGAGATACAGATATAGAAAGCACTTGAAACCGCTGCCTTTGGTCTTTCTGATTAGAATACTAGCTGTCCACTCCTGAGAGAGAAATCCTGTTAGAGCTAATGACTCCTCCTGGGGTGCTTGTAACCTGATACTAGTATAAAACAGCACTACCTATTCCAAAGAGAGAATGAAAGCAAATTACAAACATAATTGGGAAAAGAAAAAATAGTCCACACTCCAATTTCTCAGGACCCAATAGATTTTATTTCAGGTGGGGATAAGGGACAAGCAGTGTGAAGACAGGGAAGGAGAGAAGGAAGTCTCTATGTTCTGAATGATTCCCTACCCCACTGTTGAGAGTGCCACATTCTGCCCTTTTACAATTTTAATTAATTTTTACTGGGACTTGGATAACACCACAGAAACCTTGTGGCTTCCTGTTAAAATGATTGTGTTACAAGCCTTATTTTTATTAGAAAAGTGAAATTTAACAAATATTTTTATTTTTATTATTTTGAAGCATTTCATCAATTCTAGGTGGAAGCACTACATCATTGAATGGGAAATCAACAAATGAAAAATGAAAAAAAAAGATTACTTATCCATTCACAGTAAGCACAATTTTACTAGAAAGAGAGATAAACTTCAAAAAGACAGAACTAAAAGTCATATATAAGACTGTGTTCTTCTATATGCTACACATCAATTTGTAGTGGCACCAAAGTGTCGCCTGCTCTGCCTGAGGGAGCACTCCCCCTAGTGGTTTTCCATAGGAAATAAAGTTAAACTTTTATTAAAGTAAAAATGCCTGAGTCAAATAGAACACACGTAAGGAGGAAATTCTTTATAAAATAAGTACCTTGATGTTAGAGTGACTTAGAAACAATTCTTACTCTCTGAATTCTAAATAGCTGAAGAGATGCAGCTAAAACAATAATTTTTATTTTAATTTTTTATTGTTTTTGAGACGGAGTCTTGCTCTGTCACCCAGGCTGGAGTGCAAGGGCGCAATCTCGGCTCAATGCAACCCTCACCTCCCAGGTTCAAGTGATTCTCTTGCCTCAGCCTCTCGAGTAGCTGGAATTACAGACACCCACCACCACACCTGGCTAAGTTTTGTATTTTTAGTAGAGACGGGGGTTTCATCATATTGGCTAGGCTGATCTTGAACTCCTAACCTCAGATGATCCACCCGCCACGGCTCCCCAAAGTGCTGGGATTACAGGTGTGAGCCACCACGCCCAGCCTAAAATAATAATTTTAAATGTGCAAAAATATCCATCCTTACTGAGCTGATTTATATTTGTTTTAAATTCTTTTTAGATTCAACTTTTAAAAAATACATTAGGCCAGGCGTGGTGGCTCACACCTGCAATCCCAGCCTTTTGGGAGGCCAAAGCGGGTGGATTGCTTGAGCTCAGAAGTTCAAAGATTAGCCTAGGCAACATAGTGAAACCCTGTCTCTACAAAAAATACAAAAATTAGCAGGGCATGGTGGCATGTACCTATAGTCCTGACTATTTGGGAGGCTGAGATGGGAGGATTGCTTGAGCCTAGGAGATTGAGGCTGCAGTGAACTGTGATCCTACAACTGTACTCCAGCCTGGGCAACAGAGCAAGATCTTGTCTCCAAAAATAAAAATAAAAAACCTTAGATCAAAATAAATTTAGAGCTAAATCATCAGAATTAAACAGTGACTAATAAGATGCTAAAATAAAATCTGAAATTGGAAATTCTTTCATCTAACAAAGTTCCTAAATGCCCATTATATATTAGGCACTGTTCTTTGTTCACACTAGTAACAAAAGACAAAAAATAACTATGCTATTTCACATTTAACAGTCTTTAGAATGTTGACTGATTAGATATTTCTGTAAGTAGCTTTTAGGTTTGTTCTGTTCTTGGTGTTTAAACAAAAAATATTCTGACAACATTTAGTAAATTCATATCTTTCCTTCTTGAACACATACACTTTAAAAAATTCCAACTTCTTTTGTAGCCGCTAGGCATGCTGAGATTGAGAGACTTATTAGTTATCAGGTACTGACCCTGGCCACCTCCCAGAATTGTCCATATGCCTGGGAAGCAGTGCCTGCCACTGTGCTGGAGTGGCCTCCTTGCAGCACACTTTGCTGTAATACTCTCCAAACCAATTTTCTCTAACGCTATGTGACCTATATTAAGGTAGGGCATTCCAATCTATCCTCCAATTTTGGTGAATATCACTGAATGGTTCTCAACAATTAATACTTTGGTACACTTTTATTTGGGGGAGGCGGTGGTCACAATGACTAGCATCAGTGGGTAAGGGTCAGACAGGCTAAATGAATCCTGCAATGGGATGACAGTTTTTTATGCTAAAGAACCGTCTCACTCAAAAGGCCAATAGTGCCTGTCCACGAACAGACACTGAGCTGTTGTCACCTGGTACGGTAACAAAGACAGAAGCTTCACTGTACTCATGTAATTTTTTCTACTAGCGAGTAAGTCAGGTAATTTTAGTATTGTATTTTATTAAATATATTTATATGCCACAAAAATTATTTTAGTGACAACTACCAGGAAAGTACAAAATCACTTAATAACTGGTTTTCTACACCTTGATTTGTCAAGAAACTCATAGGCAAATGGAAAGTAATAAGTACTGACTGCCGTTACTACAGTGAACAGTTTTGAGAACAAGAAGAAAACCTGTAACACTGAAAATTGCTTTATATCCCGTTCACAGATCTCTTTAAAAGGTCTACTTTAAAAATAAATCACGGCCGGGCGCGGTGGCTCAAGCCTGTAATCCCAGCACTTTGGGAGGCCGAGACGGGCGGATCACGAGGTCAGGAGATCGAGACCATCCTGGCTAACAAGGTGAAACCCCGTCTCTACTTAAAAATACAAAAAAACAAGCCGGGCGAGGTGGCGGGCGCCTGTAGTCCCAGCTACTCGGGAGGCTGAGGCAGGAGAATGGCCTGAACCTGGGAGGCAGAGCTTGCAGTGAGCTGAGATCCGGCCACTGCACTCCAGCCTGGGCGAAAGAGCAAGACTCTATCTCAAAAAAAAAAAAATAAATAAAATAAATCACATAAAGAATTGTTCAGACTTGTTTGGTGATGCCTCAACTTCAGAACATTTGCAAGGAAATCACATGTAAAAGCAATTATCTCAATACAATTAAATCCTATTAAAGAAAAAAAGTTTCCTTCAAACCAGTGGTTCCCAAAATGTAGTATGCATCAGAATCTCCTGAGGGAAGCTTGTTAAAATACAGAATGCTGGCCTCCTCCCCAGAGTTTGCTACAAGTTTGCAGGCCGTTCTGATGTTGGTGTGGGCACAACACTTTGAGAACCACCACTTTATGATCTAGTCTCTAGAATTCAAACTAACAAGCAATGCTCATATGCCTGTGCTTTTTCTTTTTTTTTTTTTTTTTTGAGACAGAGTCTCTCTCTGTCGCCCAGGCTGGAGTGCAGTGGCCAGATCTCAGCTCACTGCAAGCTCCGCCTCCCGGGTTCCCGCCATTCTCCTGCCTCAGCCTCCGGAGTAGCTGGGACTACAGGCGCCCGCCACGGCGCCCAGCTAGTTTTTTGTATTTTTTAGTAGAGACGGGGTTTCACTGTGTTAGCCAGGATGGTCTCGATCTCCTGACCTCATGATCCGCCCGTCTCGGCCTCCCAAAGTGCTGGGATTACAGGCTTGAGCCACCGTGCCCGGCCTGCCTTTGCTTTTTCTAATAGTAAATAAGTAAAAGAACATTTCAGATAGCTGCATCAAACTTTAAGCCTTCAGACTCTTGAAATGTTACCTTGGCTCATGTAACTGTGAGTTCAAAAGACAGAACTAAAGGACAGTCCTGAATAATCTATGACTACATGAAAACATTTATTTACATGCCCTCTACAAAATGTATTTAGAAAACACAGTAACTATTAGGTACACGACCTTGCTCCTATCTTCCCCATCGTGCTTCTTCTCTATAGAAAATCCAATATGAAATTATAAAGAGTACTGTACTCAGAATAAGAACTTCATCTGTCATAAATGTACACATAAATATCAGTGAATTGTCATACTCAAGACTCAAGATTCAGGAACTTCTTCATCAGGGCAGCAGTAATATTCCACAAAACATATTTGTCCATCTTCATTTCTAATCATATACTGTAATGAAAGGAAGCCTCTGTTATCTGTCCGAATAGATACCTTACAAGATAGGACTAATGCCTTTGTAGAGGGTTTCAGTAAAGAAATCTTGTATCTGTAGAAGACAAAATAAAAAGCTGTTATATCAACACAGTGAACACTGCTCAGAACTCCCAAGGACAAAAAGTAGCAAAACTAAGAATAAAATCAGGTACTTATCCAATTTGCTAATATTTTCTCTTGATGTTTTTAATATTCATCCACTGTTAGAACCCTACATCCCCTAGTAAGTCCAGCACTCTACTGTTTATTTTTATAAAATGCAGTGCATTTTAATTAACAGATTGAAAGTGTTTTTATTTAACAGAAATCTGGTATTTAACCTCCTCTTTATCACCAAGGGGAACCTCTATATTAAGAACTGACCTGTTGACTTGAGTCTGATTACAATGAAATGCTTCCATCAAATCAGAATCTTTGGGATAGTCAAGGTGGGAACTTCCTGCATTTCCAAAAGTAGATAACCTATAGAAAATGATTACCTCATTTATTCATTGGTCCAAAAATAAACCACATTAGGATCCAAATAAAGAAAACACTTCCTTAAGAAATTCATACTAGTGGAGGAAACAGACATGTACACAAATGCTTACAACACACGATAACAAGTACCATAATAAAGCTCCCACTAGAGTTCCGGGAGTTCAGGGCAACTAATCAACGGCTTTGATCAATTGTAAAAGGAAAAGGATAAGGGACACTTTAATTTCATTACCCTAATCCTACTCTGAAAATGACTTTTCCTTATCCTTAAGTCAGAAATATATAACAGGAGAAAGAATTGAGGACTGATGGAAGACCTTGATCTAAGTCAACTGCAACCCTTAGGTCTGTTCCCAATCCTACACCGAGGAATAACAGCTTTTCTGTATCTTAGACTGCTCTTAAGGCTATTTCATGGTTTTCCTCACTTGGTAACATCAGAAGTTATTTGTAGACAATTTGTAAGTGTTAATATGCTGATTTAATCTGCAAGAACTTCTGAGGCATTTGCTGCAGGGTTAGCACATTGCTAACTATTATATGAGCATGGTGATAAGATCCAGGTTGGTTTTCTCTAAGCTCCATTTCTGCCATCCATATTCCAGGTGTTGGTTTTCCTGGGGTCCATCTTTTCTTTCTTCTAATATAATCTCTCTCTCTGACCCGTCTCATCCATGCCCAGCCATGATGATGGTTCCCAAATCTAAATTTCCAGTCTAAATGGATTTCCTGAGCACCATAACTATGCATCCAGCTACTCCCTAGTGTCACAGGTACTTAAAATTTAACATATCCAGGAAAAAATTTCAGCTCCTACTCCTACCTCCCTACCATCAAATTGAACATATCCAGGAAAAAATTTCAACTCCTACCTCCCTACCACCAAATTGTTTCCCATCCTGGAGATGAAAGATACCATGGTCCATCCAGTTACCCAGGCTGAGAGAGATCACTGACGAGATCCCCTGAAATACTGTTTAAGTACCTGAAATTTTTTACTTCATTCCACTGCTAAAGTAGGGTTTCCAATTTCCATTTTGGTTAACACTTTTATCAGACCCTGAGCCAAATTCTTAACTCCCCAAAGTCATGAGAAGGGCCTGTGATTCTTTTTCTTTTTTTGAGACGGAGTTTCACTCTGTCACCCAGGCTGGAGTGCAGTGGTGAAATCTCAGCTCACTGCAACATCCGCCTCCTGGGTTCAAGTGACTCTCCCACCTCAGCCTCCCAAGTAGCTGGGATTATAGGCATGCGCCACCACGCCCAACTAATTTTTCTACTTTTAGTAGAGACAGGGTTTCACCATGTTGGCCAGGCTGGTCTTGAACTCCTGACCTCAAATGATCCGCCCACTTCAGCCTCCCAAAGTGCTGGGATTACAGGTGTGAGCCACTGCACTTTTACAGCCAGGCCTGTAATTCTTCTAAAGTAGTTACAAAAAGAATACCTTATTCCTTTTATTCCCTATGTCTTTAGTGCCTTTATTTAACATTCTGAAATACTTCAAAAAGAGAGTATTTAGATCCTGAAATATTCTGAAAAGAGAATATTTAGATCCTCTCTCTAAATTGCTAGAATCTCTAAACTGAGTCTAACCCTGAACAGACACTTGTGTTAAAGTATCAGGAGCAGCTTTTTTGACATGGTATTCCTGCTGAAAACTGCCCTCTTTTGGGAAGCCAGCTTTGAGCAATCATCTCTAAATCCTTATATAAGCGTTTCCCAGGTATCTCTGTGTGCTATATTGGTACTTAATGGTTTGCTGTTTCACGTATGTTGGTTTCACCTTGGTTTTAAGCTTTTCTTCCCATAATGCTTAATAAGATGAGTAAGCACATGGTAGGTGATCAACAGATACTTGGTGACTGAACGAACCATGTGTAGAAAACATTTTCTTCTGCAACCTGAACTTGAAAAACATACCATAATACAAACACCCTTTCAAACACTTAAACCCAATTTTCCTCATGATGTAACCTGATCTATGACAGTAAGTAGTAGTACAATGAAAATACCACTCATTTATAAATTAAGGGACTGGGTTTCTCATCTAGATGCCACCACCACCTAAATATGACATAGTGAGTGAATCTTCCTGGGTCTTAAGTTTCTTGAACCATAAAATTATGAGGTAACAGTACAAGCTGTCTAACGTTGTGAAAACTCTAAAATGTGGATAATAAAAATTTTGCACCCTAAGCAAATGTCTCAGTAGGAAGATGGGATTACAGACCACATTAACTATAACTGCACTGCTCTCAAGTACCTGAAATAAGGCTTGTCAGGAGACATGGTAATTTGTAGGACTTCACTCGTCATATCCAATTCAGAAAATGCTTCACGGAGCCCCTCTGACTGCAGAATAATTTTATTAATAACATTGGTGCTGCAGAAATCAAAATCCAAGGTCTCCTCAGGTTCCTGCGTATTGATTTTGCAGACTGTTACCACTCCTCCTTCTTCCAGAAACAGCATCAAAGGGTAACCATAACCTTGGTAACACATCCGAAGTGCAGTTAAAGTCCCTGCAATGGAAAGAAGTCATACTTGGCGTTAGCTTTATAGCTCTGGGTTCAGCTTCTCCTCGAAATGATACATCAAATTTCTCAAGAATAATTTATTCCGTCCAATTTCTCACAGACATGTATGTCCTCATAAAAAGGGATTACATCTTCCCTGATGACAGTTGTGTGTAGACAATTCCAAAAATACAAGAAAACTGGGAACCAGAATAAAATGTAACGTAATTCTTCGGAATCATTTTCAGGTTGTCATAAACACCTCAGAAGTAGCTTGTGCATTTTACATCCATACAATTTCAGGATAGAGAATCTATATGGATCAACACAGCAAGTAACTAAATTGCTGCAGAACAGGGTATGCTATTCCTTGAAGGTTCAATGTGTGTAACAGTGGATTGCTATCATCTGTACTGTAACGTCAGTGTACTCACTATGACAAGGATCCTTCCAACTTTTCCAACTGGGAGATATTTATATTTCCTCACATTTTAAAATCAAATTGAGAGAAAAAGAGGGTTGTTAATGGTGGTGTAAATTTTAACACTGCAAGCCACTAGCGGCAAGGAGGACTATGACAGGATATTCAAAGTCCTTCTCCTTGCTGGACTGAGAGCCACAGTGAGGAATGGAACATGACAGATGCTTTTACGAAAAACCAGCTGGAGAACACTGTCATTAGAAAATGTATAATTCAACAGTGGAACTGTCTGTGGAAAGTTAAAATACACTTTTCTGGAGAACTATATTGAATTTTTCCTAGCTAATCTCCAGGTCGCTTTCCTATGAAATAAAATTCTGGGGATTCCTTACAGTTTTATACCTACAGCAGTTGAATTTCACCATTCTTAAAAATAATTCCCTTAACAAATAAAAAAATATACATTTTAAAGAAAATCATTTGGCAGCCGGGCACGGTGGCTCGTGCCTGTAATCCCAGCAATTCAGGAGTCTGAGGCGGGCAGATCACCTGAGGAGTGGAGTCTGAGACCAGCCTGGCTAACATGGTGAAATCTCGTCTCTACTAAAAATACAAAAAAGTAGCCGGGCATGGTGGCACGTGCCTGTAATCCCAGCTACTTGGGAGGCTGAGGCAGGAGAAGCGCTTGAACCTGGGAGGCAGAGGTTGCAGTGAGCCGAGATTCTGCCATTGTACTCCAGCTTGGGCAACAAGAGAGAAACTCCGTCTCAAAAACACCAAAAAATCATTTATCAAAATAGACATAACTTATAAAATATGGCTTAAAAGAAACAAATTTTGAACACAGTAAACTAGGATTCAGGAGAACTGGCTTTCGTTTTTCTCTGCCACTAACTAGCTGAGTAATTCTGGACAAGTTAGAGAAGAGAAGCAATTAAAACATTTCACAATGTTAAAGATATTAAAGACATGTCCAAAGTATTCTTTTGGCCAGTGCAAATTTAAAATCCCTCAAAGCCTTGTAAATTAAAAAAAGATGAATGTAAATACTTTTACAAATATGAAAGAACTATAAACATACTTGCAATTAACATTGTGAAATGTTAGAACCCATGACTGTGGCCACCAAAAAATGAATTGGCATTAGCTTTCTGAACAAATGTTTATATTCCAAATAACTTCCTGTATTTTTCTGACCACTGTATATAACACTTTTATGTCTTCATACTGATAATAGTTTACCTGGCATAGGACTTGATCCAAAAATAGACAAACAGTCTAAAAGGACAGTTAAATTAATTCGAAAAGTAACAGACTCTTCCTGAACTTTAAATTCCTGAAATATTCCAGCCTATGGAAAAAGTAAAAATGAAAATTGTTATGTAAAAGAATGAAAATATACAAGGTCCTAGATTTCACTTTATATGTTTAAAAAATACAATACTGTGCTAATCCCATGAGAATAATTTCTGATTAGCAATCAAAACATCTTAGAGACATCCTTTGAAGCATCCTTATATCCATTCCTGGATCTAAAACTATCCCTCTGGGACTCTCCCTTATCTCGTTTTTGTGCATATCACTACTGCTAAGGTCACTTGGAAAACAGACGAATGACTTGATAATGCATGAGCAATATTAGTTACAACTTTTATTATTATTTTTTATTGATTCGGGGGTCTCACTATGGTTACTCAAGCTGGTCTTTAATGCCTGAGTTCAAGCGATCTTCGTGCCTCAGCCTCAGTCTCCTGAGCAGCTGGAAATACAGGTGTGAGCCACTATACCATATCGCCGCACGAGGACGAGAACCATGTCTTATTTACCTCTCTATCCCTGAGGTCATGCTGTGCACTTACGTGTTAAAAAAAATGCTTAGTTGAATTTGCAATCCTATCTGAACCATACAAATATTACTTTGGAAGAACAAAAATTCTATTACAACCAGTAAAGGGAAAAAATACTCTTTAGTAACAGCAAGGTGGTAGTATCGCAGTGGTAAAAAGAGCAGATATTCTGGAAACAAATGTTCAGGGTTCTTATCCCAATTCAGCTACTTACCAGCTGTGGGACTGCTGGCAAATCACTTAAAATTGTGCCTCGTTTCCACATATATAAAACGGGAATAATAACAGAACCTACCTTAAAGGACTATTGTTAAAATTAAATAAGTTAAACACTAAGAAGACTGTAGCCTAGCTGATAGTCTAGTTTAATAAACTTTAGTCATTACTAACCATTATCTCTGTAAAACAAGATGGGAAAAGAATTTGTTACCGGGAGAGAAAAAAAAAATTCAAGTAATGACGTTTTTTTCTCTAACTTAAGACTATTATTTATCTATTAAGTTATGTATTATGACTATTGACTATTAAGTTATTAGGAGTATTAAGTTATTTATTATGTCTACTAAAACCTTCGGATTTCATTAAATTGCATTTAGAATATCCAAGGCACAGGCTTAAAGGCGCCTACTTCCATACCTGAATAAAAGCATTTGCTTGCACACACTTTGCATTTTCCACTGTTACTTTGATACCATTTTTAGTTGCGAAACACGTGGCATGCTCTCGGAAATGAATAGCTTTCAAAACAGTGGAGAGATTCCTAACGTTGTCAAGGCTGGCCACAAGGCTGTACTGATCATCCTCATCTTGAATCTGCTGGGTCAGAAGGGGCATCGTCCACTGCGCATTCGGCCCGGAAGGAAATGCTCCTGGGGCCAACACCTGCTCGGCGGATCGCCAAACACCTGAAGGGACTGGACAAAAAGACTCACATCAGTGCAGGCGAGGTCTGGCGAGCTCCACCTGCGCTGAGAGGTGGACGGGGGCTGGGCGGCTGAACTCAGCTCATCTATGTCACTTAATTGTCTTTGTAATTTTGCGGGAAAATTAAGTTACGATTTCCTCGTCTCTGTAAGAGGACAATAACGTGAAAAGTTGTGAAGAATGAAGACACGCAACTGACACGGTATCTCCGCTTAGGGCCAGCTTCTCCCGGACAAACAAACAGGAGCTACTAATCCGCACAGAGTCGGTTTTGTGCCGCCCGCGGCACCAGCCTCGCTTCCAACAGAACAGGCGATGGGGGGCGGGCCCGGAGTGTCCAGAAGATCCCCAAAGAGTCCCAGACAAGCCCATTCACCAGCCCGCCCGCGGGACAGCATCGCTTACTAGTCTCGGGGTCCCCGAGTGCGGACATCCTACCTTTGCGGTGGGGTCTGGACGCCCGAGAGACCTTCCCAGGAAATCCCTGACGAGGAGCTAGACAGCTCCGAGAAATCGCCTAGGAAGTGGAGCGGGTCCCGCCACTCTTCAGACCTGCCCTCCACCTCGGCCACCGTCACCACAGAGCTGAAGGAGGCCTAGAGAGCCGCGCGTGCTGCGCCACCGAGACCGGAAGGAGACACCGCAGACCTGGAGGACAGCAGCGTAGCTGAGCGCTTAGAGCCACCGAACCATAGAGATCGGAAAGAGGAGCGAGCGGCAACGCCGGAAAATAGGCCAAGAGCGCAGGCGGTAAGGCAAGATGGCGGCAACCAAGAGGAAACGGCGTGGAGGATTGGCAGTTCAGGCGAAGAAGCCAAAAAGAAACGAAAAAGATGCCGCGCCGCCAGCTAAGCGGCACACCAACGCAGAGGAGGTGGAGGAAGAAGAGAGGGACCGGATCCCAGGCCCTGTTTGCAAGGTAGAAGGGGATGCCTCTGGCGGCGGCGGCTCTGTGCGCCTTTTCTTGGGTTACTTACTTGACTACAGCTCTGCTAATTTCAGAATAGCCCGGGTGTTAACGGTAGGTCGGTTTTAGCAGTTCTCCCGGCCAGACTGGGCACCGAGTTTTCAGCTAATCCTTGTGCACGTGGCCGCCCTCCTGGAGGCGGCGGGTTTTTAAATCTTTACCCGGCCCACGGGAAAGCGACTTACAGGGTGCTCAGATCTAGCGTTTTGTCTTCGTAGTTGTTCAGTTGTTTTTTTGTTTTGTTTTGTTTTGTTTTGTTAATATTTTTGAAAAGTAGGGCTTTTCCTTGGCTATTTCTCGCTATTGAGTATTTCTTCCAGTGATTAGTATGTCCATATACTGCCATAGTCAGCCACTCTCAGTCAGGGATCCTACAGTTTGTTAGGTGAGTCTTTAAAAAGTTGTTGCCCTTGGGACTGTGACTCTGACTTGTTAACCAGTTTTTAACTCAAGGGATAATGAAAGATAGGCTAGGTACTATGAGCTTTACCTTTATTCAACAGACATTGAATGTGCCATGCATTTTACCAAGTTAGGCATCCTTTGGGTTTGAGATTGCAAAGGTGACTAGCATGTGACCCCGTCCTCCTAAAATGTTGGAGTTTAGGAGGAAACTTAAGAAATTCAAATAAGTTAATGGTTTTTATTCAAAAGAAGTGCACAGGCCGGGCGCGGTGGCTCAAGCCTGTAATCCCAGCACTTTGGGAGGCCGAGACGGGCGGATCACGAGGTCAAGAGATCGAGACCATCCTGGTTAACACGGTGAAACCCCGTCTCCACTAAAAAATACAAAAAACTAGCCGGGCGTGATGGCGGGCGCCTGTAGTCCCAGCTACTCGGGAGGCTGAGGCAGGAGAATGGCGTGAACCCGGAAGGCGGAGCTTGCAGTGAGCTGAGATCTGGCCACTGCACTCCAGCCTGGGCGACAGAGCGAGACTCCGCCTCAAAAAAAAAAAAAAAAAAAAAAAAGTGCACATAAGTTGTTGGAATTAGCTAGCTTTCATTCAACTGAGAACTTAAGTTAGACAGAATACTGTGAAGGCAAGGATTATCTTTGACATTAATTTCTGCATCCTCCGCACTTAGCAGAGTAGTCTAGCACGCAGTAGGTGTTAGGTCAATGACCCCGTGTGGTGTGATGGCAAGCTCTAGGAAAGGAGTGTGAGCTCTGAGGAATAAAAGATAAGTGTAAATTCTAGCCCCGCTCTTTTTCTGCGCTCTTTTCTGACCTGCAGATTGGGGCCGGGGAGGGGGGGAGAGAATATTTACTTTTTATGAAAAATAAGCTGGGCTGTCACTTCCAATAAATGTTAGTGTTCTCACTCTTCCCTTAAGGAGCTAGATAGTATCCATAGTCTGAGCCATACTTTGATACATTCGATGGAAATGCAAGAGGTAGAGATTACTTTTACCCTAGTATAATAAGATAAAGAATCATGAAGGATTTCGTCTTTAAGCTGCATATCAGAAGAAGTGTAGAATTTTGACATTCAGAAATGAGAGGGAACACTCCAAGGGAGGAAAAAAACTGGTAAAAGACTTTGAAGTAGGGAAATGCTGAAAAATGTAAAAAATAGAGCCAGATTGGATTGCATTAGGCTTCATTTGGGGCAATAATGATGTAAAAATGAAAATGTATTTTACAATTCAGTGTCGAAGCTATGTCATTTGAACTTTGTTTAGAAAACTCTGAGAAGTAAGGATGTGACTGAAGTATTACTTTAAAAATGGCCGGGCGCGGTGGCTCACGCCTGTAATCCCAGCACTTTAGGAGGTTGAGGAGGGTGGATCACTAGGTCAGGAGTTCAAGACCAGCCTGGCCAAGATGGTGAAACCCCGTCTCTACTAAAACTACAAAAAAAAAATCAGCCAGGTGCAGTGGTGGGCACCCATAATCCCAGCTACTCAGGAGGCTGAGGCAGGAGAGTCGCTTGAACCCGGGAGGTGGAGATTGCGCCACTGCCCTCCAGCCTGGGTGACAGAGTGAGACTCCATCTCAAAAAAAAAAAAAAAGAGTAAACTTGAAAGAGGTAGTCAACCATATCCGTTGGAGGTGTTCTTCATGTCTGAGAAGCTTAGCCATTTAGGAGTTTTGCAGTTAATACAAGACTCTAAATAAGTGCAGTGTGAATAAGAAAGGATTAAGAATTGTGGGAAATTATTATGAGACCTCTGTCATGGAGAGCATGGAAATAAAAGAGGGCTAAGAAAGAACTTTCAGGGTTGGGAGGAGGAATTGGAGAGATTGAAGGTGAAAAACAAGAAACCAAGGAGGGCGTTTCTGGGTGGCAGATGTGGTCAGTGAATGTTGGTGAGAGATGAAATTAAAGGAGTCAGGATGGTTTGACTTGCTACCTGGAAGCTCTTAAAAAACAAACAGGGCCAGGTGCAGTGGTTCTCACCTATAATCCCAGCACTTTGGGAGGCCAAGCCGCTTGAGCCCAGGTGTTGGAGACCAGCCTGGGCAACGTAGGGAGACTCCCGTCTCTACAAAAAAAAAAAAAAAACTACCTGGGCATGGTGGCACATGCCTGTAGTATCCAGCTACTGCAGATGCTGAGGTGGGAGGATCACTTGAGCCCAGGAACTTGAAACTGCAGTGAGCTGTGAGCATGTATCACTGCACTTCAGTCTGGACAACAGTGTGAGACCCTGTCACAAAACAAGGTCAGTTCAGTATGAGATTTTAAAATCTTTTTAACATTTTCTTTTTCTTTAGGGCAAGTGGAAAAATAAGGAACGGATTCTCATCTTTTCTTCCAGAGGAATAAATTTCAGGACAAGACATTTAATGCAGGACTTGAGAATGTTGATGCCTCATTCTAAAGCAGGTGCCTTTGTATCATATACTTTAGAAATTTCTGTCTATAAACTTAGCTATTTTTATGTTTTCACTTATTTTATATATTCTTCATTTGTTCAGTGTTTTCATGAAAAAAACACAATACCTTTTATCTTTTCAAGTGCCACAATTTTTCTAGTTAACATTTTATAAGAAATTCTTTAGACTTCATTAGGTAGTTTCTTTACTTTTTAAAACAGATGTCCTAATATTACTGAAACATTTCTTGAAAGTCCAGGAATGCCTTCACTGTAATGTTCCTAAAGGTCCTGAGATAGGTGGGATGGTTTGTCCTAAGTGCTAAGGACTGCCATGTGTTGCTTTTTGGGCTTTTTTTTTTTTTTTTTTTTTTAACTGTTTTTATTGAAAAATGTACCTGGGATAGAATTTGAAGCACCTTTTAAGCTGGAGTCAGAGCCTATTTCTAAATGCCAAGTTATTTATTTATTTTTATGCAATAGGTTATTTTACAGGCAAGAACAGTATGGCCAGGCATGGTAGCTCATGCCTGTAATCCTAGCACTTTGGGAGGCCAAGGTGGGTGGAACACTTGAGTCCAGGAGTTCCAGACCATCCTGGGCAACATGGTGAAACCCCATCTTTACAAAATAAAAAATGAAAAAAGTAAAGTAAATTAGCCAGGTGTGGGACCACTTGCCTGCAGTCCCAGCTACACAGGAGTCTCAAGCAGGAGGATGGCTTGAGCCCAGGAGGTCAAGGCTGCCATGAGCCATGATTGTGTCACTACACTTTAGCCTGGGCAAGGAGCAAGACCCTGTCTCAAAAAAAAAAAAAAAAAAAAAAAGTTTCAGAACAGTGGAGTGGCAGCGCATCATATTTGTGCTTATGTTGAGAGGTGCTTTGGGGTTTTTTTTGGTTTTGTTTTTTTATTTTAAAAAATTTAACATTTTTTTAGATTCAAGGAGTATATGTGCAGATTTGTTACACAGGCATAAAGTCAGTTTTCTTTGACATCTGTGATTAACAAGTGAAAGATATTTTCATTGAAACTGGTTTCCTTTAACATAGTCTTTGGTTTGTGAGAATTTTCCCATTTTTGAAAAGGATCCTAAAATACCTAAATACTGAGAAACACTGCTTACACTATAATTTCTAATTCTTACAGACTCTATTTTATTTTCTTTACATTTACAAAGAGTCAAGATTTTTTAAGCGATTGTTTTCAGGTCTTGTTTTCAAAATTAATAATAAAATCTCCTTTAAACTGAAGAGTGTAAAAACACTTATTTTTTAGATAGCATATGTGGTTTGATTGAAATAGCTTTGAAATCACTTTTAATTTACTTGCTTTGTCTTTTTTTTCTTTTTCTAGATACTAAAATGGATCGTAAGGATAAGCTATTTGTGATTAACGAGGTAATTTTAGAAAGTAATTGCAATAAAATATTTTAAAAACATTAACAGTGGCTCATTTCAAAAATAATTCATTCAGTGACTTTAAAAATTGTTTTGCAAAAACTATTCAGACATGTTTTATTAACTCTTCAATAACTGCTCTTCCAGATTTTTCTCCTACAGTTTAGTGCTTTAGTCATTTCTGTTTGTTTTGTCTGAACAAGCATATTGAAATCTCAGGAGAAGGATTATGTCTCATTTTTTAACCCCATAGTGTCTAGTATTATGCTAAATCCATAGTAGGTACTCAAAAAATGATCAGTCAGCATATATAAAGTAAAATAAGAAGTCCATTAAACATATCTATATATGTAGAAACCCCACATGATAAAAAGTGTTTTGCCAGTATTAAA